TTCAAAATATAGCCTTTTTAATTTAATATTGTGGAAAATTGAATTGAGTTGAAATACATTAAGTTTGACATACATATAAAAAAAGTCCACTAAATTCCAAGAATACTGAACAGTACTGAACAATACTGAATCAAAACTGATATGAAAAGGCAAGGCCATGGATTTCCCAGTTTAGTGTATGTATTTTGAATTCCAGCAAACAAAATCATATCCAAATAGTCAACACCTAAAGGAATATAAACAAATTATGTTTAACTCCAGTATCTTCTGTTTCTAGATTAATTGAGGGTTTTTTGCAATTTAAAGCTGTGTCACAAATTACTGTAATGTACAGTAAGCATGTATTGAAGGAATTGGGAAAGATACTCTATTTCTAAAGAGTTTCTGATTAAATAAGGGGCTTTAAAATGTTTAAGCAATGTGTACAATAGGAATTATTTACAAAACTTAAACGTACATATTCACAGAAATACTGGTGAAAGTTAACTCTTACTAAAAAAGCAAGATTTTCTTTTATACCACTAAGATGCAAGTTACATTATTAAATGAGGAAGGTAGGCAAAGCAAGGCATTTATCATCCAACAGACAAATGACAGAGGATTCCTAGTTGGACAGTATAATAAGTGCCATCTAATTTTCTCTTTCAAATCAATTTATTCTTCAAAGCCTTGGATCATCATCAAGGGACTGCATTTTCCCACTGAGAAATTACAGAACTGAAAATCAGGTTTTATAAAATATTCAACTAGTTGCACACAAACCCTTAAAAATAACCACTAGAATGGATTTTTTTTGACTAGTGGTGACAGTATCTCTTCTAATTCAAATAATTGAATGGTTTGACTCTTCTCAGACACTACTTTGTAGCATTACTTCAAAATCAGACCCTGTGATTCATCAGTAACCACCAGAAAGTTTTTTCACCCTTCCACTTATCCACAGATTCTTTTCTGCATTTAGCTGAACATTAGCCAAGGGTAAATTTTGCATGGTTTAATTTGATTCACAGTGTTTACCATCTTTCTACAACCAAGAAAATAATTTGAAAGCTCAATGATTGTTAATAATTAATAATTGTATATCAAGCGTAGCATTTTTCAAAAGCAACCCAACAGTGGTGACCTTAAGGATTTTCTCAAAGAAAATAATCTACAGCTCAAGAACCTTTCCAGTGGAAGCACTGGAAGTGATCTTTATAAAAATATGTAATTCTGTAAATATGACACAGTCATAAGGAACCTGGAAAGGTCATTATGTAAACTGTCGGAAGTTGGAATTGTCATTTTCTTTCCTGGAAAATAAAATGGGTTCATCTTAAAATATGAGATATTTCATTCTAGTCCTCTGAATTTGAGGTGTTCCATTTTTGGACATGGCACACTCCTGCTTTTCTTAATACCTGTCTCAACAGAACATCATGACATTTACCAAAATAAAAAAAAAGAGAGAGATTAGAAGTTGCAAAAGTGACTTTAAGATACTTTTTGTTACCCAGTTTCAGAGACCACCTGCTGATTAAATTGTTCTGTGATATTAAATTGGGCAACACTGCTCTTTTTCTGTACTACCTAATCAGGTAGGCAAACACCTGAGCTCCAAGGAGCTCACAGCATTGAAGAGCAATGCTGTTCAGGGGGAATCAACCTATGTGAAGGCAGGGAATCACTCAGGCTGATTTTCATGTGAAGATACAGGACCATTCTGACTCCAAGTGGTTCTTCTGAGAGCAGAAAATAAATGCTACAGGTTAGAAAATGTATGTTACAGGGTACAGACAGACTTTCCATTAATAATACAGTAGATATTGTTGTAGGACTAGATCCTTGGATTTAAATGATTTGGTTTGGTGCAGGACTCAGGATAGAAAAAGAAGTGAGAGAAAGAAGTGGTTTTTTGGAAGCAGTTAGTTGATAACTTAATCTAAGGGTTCAGTTGGAGCATCTGAATAGATACAACAAGTCATGCTAGCAGTAATAACCATGCAGAAACCATGTCATGGGCTGGGGATTGCTGGAGTGCATCCCATTTTGACAACAAACCTTATTATCCCTGACTTGGCTCATGAGGAAACCAAGATTGGAACAAGAAAATTCTTACAACCCATCTAATAATTCCCTTCTGGCTGCTACATTATGTAAGATCTATATTGTCTAGGAAAACACACTGAGGTTGGATTGGGGAATTAGGCATCTGACATTCCAAATATATGCTAACACTTCTCATGTACATTAGTAACTTCTGTCACAAAGCACACTGGTAAATATGGGCTTTAAAGTTTTAAAAATATTAAAGCTGACAGTTCAGATTAGCCAGTATCACAACATCTTATCCTGGATAATCTTCTTTTGTAATTAAAATGAAAACTAGCAAATTCCTTTGATAAAAATGAAATCACAGTCTGAGCGAGAAAGAATTTAAAACTTCACACAAATCATGCCTATGATCTCAAGTCAAATCATTGGAAGGTAAGAAAAATGGAGTTAAGGTGGAATTTAAGTAAGTTTCAGTATAGTCAGGGATGGGAAAGCACAAATAGTGTATCAAAAATTCTGCCTCACAATGACATCATCCACTAGACGTGACTGTTTTATATGTTGAGATAGAACTAATTTTCAAACAGAAAAAATCTCTTCCCCCCCACAAGATTTTTTTCTGTTTTCTCTATTAACTCAGATTGAAAATCTGTCAGTTCTTGGACAAAGAGCCGAATTTATGCCTACTGTAAAGCAGTGCAACTATACTTTTCATTATACATATGTAACATTCTTTATATAAATTCTGGCTTGGAATATATACTCATACTTGTTTTTCTCTGTTATATATGTCATGATTTAATTAAATACTTCTGAAACTTCATGCAATCACAGTTAAAGGTAATCACTGTTGAACAAAAGCAACTGAAGCTGTTGATTGTGCCTTTATCTACACTGGCTGAATCTGAGCCTGTAATTCTCTGCCTCTGGTGACAAAGATAGAAGTGATATAATTTATATATGGAACAACTATTGCCTGCTACACCGTACAGTGTGAAAATGGCAGCAGTGTTGACCAGAGCCCTGCTTCCACTGCTCCACCAAAAGAAGAAATGTGCTGGTGGTGAATTATGAGGGCTATTTTTCCTAGCCCAGGCAAGGCCATGATAATCAGAATTATTTGAAGTTGATATTTGATTAATGCTGGCAGTACTCTATAAGTGATTTCCACTAGACAACATGTAATTGTTTAATTATTTCCCATTATTAATGGAATGAAACAATTCAAAACAAACAGCTAGAATGGCTCTTTTGCCAAAAGCTCATAAGCATCAATTCATACATGTAGAAATCTTACTAAAATTATATCAAGCTGGCCTGTTGAACTTGAAAGGCATATTTTATCCCAATCAATGCATGAAAGTAAAATTATCAATAGCTAAGGCATGTTTCTCTGCTGTACAGTTCAGCTGTAATGATCCTCACACACTGCACTCGCACATCAATTATGATAATCATAATCACGGTCGTTAAGCTGAATGTTCATTATTATCAGGATGCTGGTGACAGCAGATTCAATCATCGGGTGCAATGGGCAGGCAGTCACAGTCCCACCCAAGTTTCTGCAGACAGCGTTGTGCCACATTAAATCTACGATGTGTTCCACATCCCACTCCATTCCAAAAGCTGTAGACGGTAAAGGTCAACTTTATGTTCTGTGCAATATGCTTAGGTTCTCTAAATTAATTCTTTGCAGTCCTGGGTATTTTTATGCTTTGTAGATAATAAAATCCTGTTTAGGGCCAAAATGCCTGTGCAAATAATGAAACTGTGATTCAGTTGTACTGTAATTCACCTATAATAAGGCATCAGAGAGAAGAATTTATCAGAATGGAACATCTTAAACTATCACTTCCTGAATTTTACAAATAAGAAAACATTAAATGCTGTCATTAAAGTCAGTTTTCTAAAATGCATATGCAAACTAATTCAAATACCCATTAAAGACTGTAAGCTTTCAATTCTGCCTCAGCAAATATGAACATATGTGAGTGTTTTGACAGCTGAAAGACTGTAAAGACTATGGTTAGCTGTTTGATCCCTTGTCTGTCCATCTACATTGGAATCTATCACTGTAGATTAAATTCCTAGTGACTAATACATTTTTTACATTGTAATTTCTCATATTAATTCTACCAAAGGCATTGAAAGGTATTTATATAGATAATGTAAAACTTAAAATATATAAGCATTTTTACGTTTTATACTGATTTACTGAGTGAACTTAACTAGATTCAGCTTCACTAAAGGCAGTGTTTCCATTCCTTGTTTATTTATAATGAAGAATTAGAACAGAACACTTCCCTTAACTCAAACTTCTTTGAAATGTAAACAGAGTGAGATAAAATTTTCAGATTATAACTAGATGAAAAAAAAAGAACTACTAACTTTTCCTCACATAGATATGGTAGTAATTATGTTTAGAAGAAGTCTATGCTAATACCGCTTCATTTTCCAGAAGATATGTAACAAGGTAATATTTTTCATTGTTGCTCATTTTGCTTCTAAAGTAATTATATAATTTACATACTAATCTTTTTGTGACTTGAATTAAATTGCATAGCAATAAACACATGAAAACCTCAGGAAAATACAACTAGAACATGCTCGTCCACACACACAAAGAAACTTTTTGTATTTAATATTAAAAAAGCCGGATAATAACAGCTAACATCAAAAAATACCTCAGCAGTTCAGGTGGGTCACTGGTCCTCTGACCACTGACTTCACTCCTTGGAAGAACTTACACAGTGTTACCAGCAACAATACAAGAAACTTGTTCAGCATAAGACTGTCAGAAGCTGAATAGAGATCAGTTTTATCAGCTACTCAGGTTGTAATAGAGGTGGCATCCACAAAAATATAACTTTGTGGTAAACTCAAAGGAGGGTTGTGTTCAGCAGACAAACTATTACACAAAAATCCATTTTTTTCTAGTATTTTTTAAATGCCTTTTAGTCTTGTGATTCATTAGAACAGATAATTTTTTTCATAGCACTGATGTATTCAAAGTTTTCATACAGTTTAGAAATAAGAAAGTGACATAGAGTTCTATCAAATTTAGCAGTTAGGAAAGTATGACCTCACACCTGCCTATAGGCCTTTTTCCATTAAATTGCCATGAGGAGCTTGAGGTTTTGTGGTTCTTTTCGAGTTTTTTCCTGATAATAATGACCCATTAAAGCAGTAGGTATGTCATAAATAGCCCTTTTCTCCTCTTATCTCTCTGCTAGGGTAAGTGGCTCCTAATGGAAGCTTCATATTGATTTAGAATTGGGATTGGAAGGCTCTGTGTCATGTTGGGTTAATGTATACAGCTATTCACCTCCAGAGATTTAGGTTGATATCTATCCAAGATCACAAGTGAGGGGTTTTTTTGCTAAGCCCATAGTTTATATATGTGTAATATGACATACATTATAAGTATCTTTAGATTTTTGATATCATCATCTGAGCCTGAGCAAGAACTACTAAGAACTGGAAAACCAAGTCTTTACGGGACAAGATGAGTGCCAGAAATAAGACAAAGATCTTTTTATACATCATACTTATGCTGTGGGTCTTCAGCCAGTCATAACTTCCACTCCTTGCTTTTGATAGACAAATTCAGATCTTTTTGTTTGATTGTTGATGTTACATTTGCAAGATATCATTAATGCATACTGAAATACCAAAATTTTACTCTTAGCTAATTTTTAAACCTTAAAGTTTTGTGGAAAAATCTTTTTAAAATGTTCCTTTTCAAACTAAAATTCCTTGGAACTTGCTTTATATTTACAAAGGTTAAACAGCTTTCAAGGAAATAATTTATCATATCTTACAAAATTCCAGAATTCTTTAGGTAGGAAGAGACCTCTTGAGATCACCCTCTACAGCCTCCCTACTCAGCTAGAGCAGGTTGCCTAGACTATGGATATATCCAAGGATAAAGATTCTACAACCTCTTTGGGCAACCTGGGCCAGTGCTCTGTCATCCTCACACAAAAGAAGAAGAAAAAAAAGTGTTTAAAAAGTGTCTTCTTTTTTTCAGATGGGATTTCATGCACTTCACTTGTGTTCATTGACTCTTGTCCTGTCACTGGATACTATGGAGTCTGAGAAAAGTTTGGGGTCCTGTTCTTCCTTCAGTCTTATCAGATGTTTATGCACTTTAATAGGCTCTCTCCTGTGCCTTCTCTTCTCCAGAATGAAGTGTTCCAGCTGTCTCAGCCTTTCCTCCTACAAAAGATGCTTCAGTCCCCTAACTATATTGCAGAGAGTGCAGCACAGAGCCAAAGTCCATTATCCTTTTTGTACTCAGAAATTTTAAAGTGATTAAGATACCTAATACAAATAGAAGTAAAGCAAACCCTACACAAACTCATGTTCTGAGAAAAATTACCTCTTGCAGCACTACAAAACAAGACATATATGAGATGCTCCTGACAAAGCAGGCAATTATGTCTTCTTAAAATAGAAAACAGCTATTCACTAGTTTTAAGATTTTTCTAAAGAATGTGAGCAGTAAAATATTGTGTTGTTTTAATCAGGTTTTGCTATAATTTCCTGAAGGTTTATCCTAATGTGTAAGAGTAAATATACAAACTCTCTTAAATCAGAAAAGGCAAAACAAACAGAATGAAACTTAGCAAAATGCATGTAATGGGAGCTTTACTAAATCAGGATCTTAAAGCCTGATCTTGTAGGACCAACAGGTGTTGGGTTTCCTCAACTGAACCTGGCTGAATTTACCAGAGAGTCAAGGAAATCTCACATCTCATCACAGCTCTAACTACATGATTTTATAACATGGTAGAAATAATCCCATTGGACTGCATGATCTCTGGATCATACTGAAATTCACCTAGTTCTAATAAGATAGCAATCTAAAAAAGTAAATAAATCCTTGATTTTTGCAGTGACTTACCTTGTCTGCTATCCACTTCTTAGGATATACTTCTCTGAAATATTTAGTTCCATAGGCTTCTTGTCCATATTTGCCTGACTTACAAAGTGATGGCTCATACTTCTCATCATTTTTATGATATGAAGAAAATGGTAAAAATCTGAAATTCAAGAATATTTTAAAATCAGTTATGCTCTTCTCTAGGTGCCACATGATTGATGTAAATCAATGCTGCAGGAGATGTCACAGACACATGTTCCTGATATTTTTCAGTATCTTATTAATGTTCCCTCTTAGTATTGTGAGAGAATTACTGAAATTTCTCCTGCAGCTTCTTTCAGATTAAATTTGGAGCAAAGAGATAGTGAGTTTCAGCAGGATAAAATGAAGATTTTGTGCACAAGGTTCTAACTTGGTTCACTTGCATGAGTAGATTATCACTTTGTCTGTGTCTGCACTAAGAACTGGTGGGATGTGCAGGATGATCAGGGTGCTCCCTTTGCTGGGAGGTGCATGCTGATACCTCAGGTCCTGGCAGGCAGTGCAGCTGGTGCCAGCTGCCAGTGACCTCTGGAGATAAACATCCTTTGGTATTACCAAAGCTAAATAAACCAAATTCTCATTTAACAGAGCAGAAACTTGCACAAGCTTGTAAACCACAAAACTAAGAAATTGTTTCTTCAGAATTCACAGACTGTGTACTTCACTCTTAAGTTATAATTAAATCCTAAATAGTGATCTTTTTGAGACAGGTTCTTTCATTTTTGGTCATAATGATGATGGACTTGCTGCTTATATAGTGCCAGCGAGCAGTGAACCTGCTGGAAGGGGTTTTCAGATGGATGTCCCTAACTGTCATGGACAACCACAGGGTTTTTGGGTAAGTTCCACAGCAAACTGTAGGAAGGAAGGTGAAAAACATCTTGTATGTACAAGATTGGCAAGAAACCCTAGAAACACATCTTAGTTCCATCTATTTCTGTTTCCAGGAGAGTCATGAGAGCAAACAAAGTACAATTTTGCTACAAAGTAAAACACGGGAAATTAAATTTATCATTGCTAGTATTCTGAAAAAATCAACATGTGTTCTTAATTCTAGAAGTGAAGGAAAAAATATGTCAGTAAAATTAGAAAGATACGCTTCAGAAGTTTAAAACATCACTTTTAAATGCCATGACAAGAAGTGTAGTTAATTAGAACCCTTCCTTAGCTGAAAGCTTTTCAGAATCCAGAGTCGCTATAAGAGTTAGGCAAACAAAATTTTGATTAAAATAAGGATTAAAATACCCTTTGTCTCTCAGCTGATACAGATGCATACAATTATTTGACTAACTGATTTATCAGAAACTGTTAGAGTGGTTTTTAAAATTATTTTCCTTTCTTTTCACCTCATAAAAAGAAATGGTTTTAGAATCTTTCCAGCTATATCAACTTCTTCTATCACATGCCACAAACAAATGTCATATAAAATTAGTGAAAGGAAAACCCTGAGTTAGCAGACTTTTAAATAATAAAAAGCTATAGTAGCATGTGTATACCCATGGGAAAGGACACCCTCACACAAGACAGATTAGGGTACTTGTAATGCTAATTTGCACATGGGATGGACATCACACACACACAAAAATTAATGTGGCCCCAGTGTCCCAGAAAATACATCGAAGGTGCTGTGAGCTGGCTGCTCCACTTGCAGTTTTTATCACCTCTGAATTGCATTTTAATAGTACATTTTTCTTTTGTTCAGACATTAAAGAAAATTGGCTTTCTCAGGGGATTGAATAGCTGAGAAGACAAGGCTTGCAGTTTTGGGATTTGCCCATATATGCACAGAATTTAGTTGAGACATAGCATTTATAATTTAACATGAATACCATGTCTGTAAAATTTATACACAAAATTATTAAAAAAATCTTGAGGAAAGCAGAAATAAATTATTATAGTTTTCCTTAAGAAATTTCTATATAGAGGTTTTGATTTTACTGTGGGTCAGTTAATCTTTGTCTTTTTGCCCAGCAAATTCTCAGAGTAAGTTAGGTTCTACTATGATTCCAAAAAATCCTCCAAAATTAACACTTTGAGACACAGCTAGCAGTATGTTCTTTTAAATGAAAGAACAAAAATGTAATAAGGTGTAATAGAAGCTTTTTCTTCCCTTTACACTTCTGCTCTCAGTCAGGGGGCATATCCTTAAAGTGATGATGCTGTAGCTACAAGAAAGGATCACATGCTTGCAAATTCAGTGTCTGCTTAAAGTAAGTGAGAATTTTTATTATGTGAATAAGTAATTAAAAAAATTACAACAATTTTTCGTGTTAAATAGGGTAACCAAATTAATGGGAGTAATACAAAAGTCATTACACACCCCCAACCAATAATAATAGCAAGAAGTAATAGCACTGCAAAACACTTCAGTAATGGTTTTATGTTCTGTAGCTCTTTGTATACACCTGACACAGCTTTTCCCAAAATTAATAATAGTATGTGCTCTGCAAGTAATAGAAGAGAATGATGGAAGAAGAAAGTTAAATTCAGGCAATGGCAGGATACCATTATCAACTGTACAAGTTTAGATTTCAATAGTTTAGATTGCAAAACATTCACTCATTATTCCTACATCTAGGTTTCAGCTTTTCCTTGTGATTTAAGTGTAAATTCAGAAATTCTTAAAGGTTTTCAGTAAATATGACAGAGGCAGACGTACCAATCATAGAAGGATTAAATTCTGTATTGATGTTTTATTGTGCTGTAAGACAAAGTCAGTATAAGCTGAGACTACCCAAAATATTATTTAATGGAAGGTGAACTTGCCCAAAATAGATATATTGAAAAGTTTAAAAATATTTAATCTCAGCCTGAATGAGAGAGATGCCAAAGAATACATTCAAAATGGGGAAAGGGTTGGAACCAAAAATGAGAAACCACAAGTGGCAGTATTACTCATACATAACCTGAGAAGGACCAGGACCAAGGCTGGCTGTGTCACTGGGGATGAAGGCCAGCTGCACTGCTGCCAGGACCCCTCTATATTGAACCTAGTTAGCCTAAAAATACCTAGAAGCCTTTGCTTAGTAGCCAAACCAGGACCTGACAGCTGCTAGAGGTATTTAAATTTTAAAGACACCACAGATATTTGTTGCTAACAAAAAATAAACATTGTTTTATCTGTCATCCTTTGCTGGACCTTCCATCTACTATTAATTTCACCTTTCTAATCCGTTTGTCCCTCACACATTTACACTCCCCTTCCATGATTTTTGTTCCTGCATTCCTTACCTACCATTTCTTCCCTTTAGTCTGTCTCTTTTATTGCAATCTCTCTCACTATTTTGACAGGATTTGGAAGAGACCTTTTAGATGCTGAATGTTTTCCAGTTGGATTGACAGAGATGACAGAAGCAGCAGCAGGAGCTGGTTTCTCGTGTCTATGGCAGTGTGAGAGGAGCACAGCACCACAAGCAGGAAAGAGAATTTCACAGGTCCATCACTGACTGCTGGGCAGCAGTGTCCCAATCCTATATGGTGCTTACCAATAGGACACAGGACAGAAAGAGGACTTTTTATTGAAATTTAAATGACAACAAAAAAACAGAGTTGTCCTTCAGCATATTCTCCAAACACACCCATGAAACAAAATTCCAGCAGTCTAGTAGAGCAAGCAGGTGATACTGATCCCAGAAATGCTTCAAAACATACCCAGACTTCTAAGAACTGCCAGATCTGCTGGACTGACACACATGCTGCACTGCCAGGACACAGTTAGAAATATAAAACAGAATACTGCTTACGTGGTTTTTCAAACTTCCATATTTTTATATGCTGTACATTCTTGTAATTTAGTAGAAAAGATTCCAGCAAAATATCAACCCTATGATACTGTTAAATTTTTATCTAAAGTGTTTTTATACAATAGTAATTCAATTCCTTGTTGTCTTGATTTAATTCAAATAAGACTATTTTATCTCACTTTGAAGAACTCCATGACCAATTAGCTCCAAACAAGCCATGCTGCTCTATCAGGAATCTGAATATTTTATCTTATTTTTTTTTTGCATTCATAAAACATTACATCAATTTTAAGCTTTCAAATTTGGATTATACCTGAAGTAATTTTTTTATCAAATCAAATAGTGTCTATCTTTTCACTTGGGGAACAAAGAAGGAAGCATAATGGTTTTCCATAGCAAAACAAGTGCAGCAGGGCAGACATTATTTAGTTTATAATGTGTGTATATTAAAATCAAAGTGTTAGACAAAAGAATAAAGATTATATATTTTATTTAACATATCAAGTGCACTGTTTTTGCCATGAGAAACCTACTTGGGTGCATCAGTACAAATACTGTTTCTGGTAATATACTAAATACATGGTTTATTGGAAAAGTATCAATCACTTTGATTGTAACATCACTAAATCTAAAAATGCTCTGGCCATTTTTATTTAACTCCTGTCTGCAAAAATGTAAAGTGGCAAATAAAAGCACAGCCTAGTTCTTGTAGGAAGTAAAAGAGATCCCTTCTACAGCAAATTCCAGAATTTCTTAATTATACACAGACTTATTATCTGTATCCCCAGTGCTATAAAGTACCAGAACTTCATTAGAAAAATTAAGATGGAAAAATGAAGGCGCTACTTTGTAAATTTCCAGTGGAAATTAGCTGGAAGAAGCAGAGGAATACTGGATCAAAAGAGGGTAATCATGCTTAACTGTGCCCTAGAGCACCCGCATGTATAATACGATTTGCACAGTAACTACCTCTCCTATTACTGCTTGTTTGGAGTATTCTGTGTTAATGGGGTTAGCTAATTTAGTATTTTAACTTAAAAAGACTCTGCTGATTAATAAATGTTGCACACTGTGCTAGTAATTAAAATAAATGGAAGAGTTACAAATAGAAGTTGAATTGTTAAGAAAACATTATCTGAAAATATATGATAATCCCTGTTTATCATAATACAATAACAGTCCAGAAAATATGCAAATTGCTGAAGTTGCAAAGCATATAAGAAACTAAGTACAATTTGAAAAAAGTTTTCAGATATGTTGTGTTTGTTTGGCAGAAAATGTACTAGCAATTTTCACTGCAGCTAAGTCAGTAAAATATTTTATAACTCTAGAAATTAAAGATTTTTTTTAATTCTAAAACTTAAAGTGACTTGCATTTTAAGTTTTCTTACCATTAATACTAGGCAGCACAGCAGCACCTGAGCTGCTGTAATGAAAAGCACCATCTTGCTGAAAATAAGCCCTTGGGGAACTGGGCGCTGCTGTATTCACATGGCACAGGAGAGACAGGATGTGCTAACATTGCTGCACATGAGTGAACCAGTGTGGCCAAGATCAAGCTGTGCATCTCCAGCACAGCACTGGGCACAGACAGAGAGAGAAGCTGAGATGATGTTTCTGATGTCTCACCAGAAGACTACAAAAAATTAGGAAACCTAAGCCTTACACAATTGCTATCACCACACTGCACCCCCTTCTGATGTTTGTTGACTTCATAAAGATGTTTATTAATATACTTTGAAGTATGAGGCATATTATATGAGACAGATTTCATCAAAGTTAATGAAAATAATCTACATTTTTGTCCTCTGGAAAATTAGGCCAGCATGCGGCTGCACACAAGTGAGGAAAGAACTTCTTATGCTTTGTCTAAATCCGCTGGACCCAGCAGTTGGTGTCTCAAACTAGACAATATATTAAGTGGCCATCCCAAAGGAATGCAATTGTCATTCCTATCCATGTGGAGGGGGAAATCACTTCATTTGTATGAAAAATAGCACAATAAGGTAGTAACAGCTTCAATTACATGAGAAAAGGGAATCATTCTTATTAGACTGGATTGCCCAGTTGCTTTTCTGTTATAGAATAGGAAATTCCAGCAGTTGCTTTAAGCAAGCACAGGATATTCTCTTTTGGTTTCATTTGTACTGCTTCTGCCTGCCTCACTCTCTCACACCTTTTTCAAATTTTTTCTGCCTTTTGTCAAAAGCAAGAACTTTCTTGCCATTTCTTTAAGAGCTTGCAGTACTCATCCTATCATCCTGTAAAAATTGCTTTTAAGAACCTTTATAATCAGAGGTGTGTGAGAATTCTGAATGTTGCTAAAAATTTCAGGTATACATGCCAACAATCTTTCTGTCTTAAGAGACCCCACACAGTACTCACTCTGGAAATATACATATCAAGGATTCAGTCTGTCATTTCATGCAAACACAAGCTTTCTCAAAAAATGCCACGTGCTTCTGCTGCTCTTTCTCTACTTATTTTCTAAAACAGAAGAATAATCAGCATAGGAAGCACTACCAGGAAGAAATAAAGTCCCAAAGTACACAATTACATGGCAAGAAACAGAAATTTGTCAATTCATAATAGACACTGCTGAGAAAAAACTACTGTAGAATCTGAGTAACCCTTTGCTGGCTCCTCCCTGGAGACCAACATCCCACACAGCAGCTGCAGCATTGCTAGTGAGCATTAGTCCTGGTGATGACCTGCAGCTCTGTCATCACCTTTTCAAGGTTACAGATGTGACCCTTGCATGGTTGGTTGAATAAGAAGCACAAATGGAATGATCACAGCCTGAAAATGTATAATACACTTTGCATTTAGTGTGCATGAAGCTGAGAATCATTGATTGTTGGGACATTGCTTCTGTGCATTAAGGATGGAATTAAATGCTTCCTTAACCATAAGGTAAATAAAGACCCCACATCAAATAATATGTACCAAAGTTGGAGGCTCCAAATTTAAACCGTACAAGACCAAATCTTCACAGTTTCCCCACTGAAGAGTCAGTGAAACATTTATTGCAAGGTCTGACCTTCTGAAAGTGTTGACAGTAATGTCTGGGGCAAACTTCATCAAATAAAGACTGGGCAATATAGTCATGCCTATAAATGAAGAACATCAGCTATCCTCAGTTGGAATGCATCAATCACAACTAATTCAAGGAAGAAAACACTTTAAACGAGAGGTAGTGTATTAATTACTACCTAGTGATACGGGTTATTTTAATTTTCACCAGCAGAAATTAGATATGAAAATGAAAAGAAAAAATAGGAGAAATTTAAGCTGAGATGTGAAAATTAAGCTGTTTCCTCCTCCTCACACCAATAAATGAAAGAATACAGAGAGAAATAGAAAAGGGAGTACATGTTTACTTGTAACTGAACTCCGTTATTATATTGGTATTAAAGGAATAAAAAGTGCTATTGCTCACTAAACAAACAAACAAAAAACCCCCACCAAAAAAGTTGTCCAAAAGTGAAAAAGTAGTCTAAATAAAATATTTTGTTTTAATTTCAAAACCATTTTTGAGTAGAATTTTCATTCAAAGATAATATTAATATTAAACTGGGGGAAATGGTCCAACAATAAAAACATAGAAGCTAAACCATGTAAACACAATTGATTCTGGCAGTCTTAAGTCCCAGTCTTGAAGCTGACACATAGCAATATGGAGCTGATAAAAAAGTGTGAAAGAGATCAAAGATAGCAAAACATCATGTGCCAATGAACACAGGCTGCTCATGAGGAAAAGTGATTCCCTTCTGTCCTGAATTCTGGTATTGAAGGGCCAAAGGATTGCCAAGAGCAATGAATTCAAGGGAAAGGTTGGCAAAACATAATTCTTTTTCTATTTAACTACAAAGCCAGAGAAAGGGACTTAGCAGGCTTTTATTATAACTGGACAAAACAGTGTTTAACAGTCCATCGTGCTAAAAAAAACAAAAACAAAAAAACAAATGTTTTGGCAATAACCTTAAATCATTTGGGACAGAAGCTTTAATCTTTTGGGATGGATTATGCCTGTATTTGAGATTTTATGGAAACTAACTGGCCTGTCTGACACTATTACAGCTGCTATGGCTTAAGAAATCAGACTGCTTCAAAGATGATTCCAGTTTTTGTATCATGTTCTAACATGCAACATATGCTCCCTCCCCTTCCAAGTGAGCTGTGGTACCCTTCTGGGAGTGAAAACAAGTCTCATTGGCACACGACACCATTTTTCCTCCCATAACCAGTAAGTTCCCAGAATATAAAGACTGAAACAGTATTTTTTTCCTTGGCAAGATGCATGTGGCAAGACAGAAATTGCATTTATTTTCTTATTTCCCATTAAAGCCGTCTGTTGCATCACATATTATTATTATTGCAAGTACTTTTACAGATTCATAGATATAGATGGCACATGTCACACAATTACAAGATAGGGTCTCTGCCCTGAGCAGTTTATAATCTAAGGACACAGAATTTAGAAGTATATACATAAAATGTTTTCTAGTAAGCTGTCAGGTTTGACATTTCATTTTGTCAGGCATGAAAGGTTTCTGAAAGCAACGGAATAAAGAAAACATTCTTACAACAATATAAGAAAAGCCAAAGAACTCACTCATTGTCATGTAAGGGATTTCTCCATTCCTCCCTTTGTGTTGCCTCTTTGGCCTTGGCTTGTGGTGAATACATCGATTCTCTCACTCGCAGGGTTGGTTCCAAAGGCTTGTAACGCTGCTGCAACACTTCAGCAGGATTGCGGAAAGGCCCCTGAAAGTTGTAGGATAGCACAAATATTTTATTTTGGGGTTACAATTCTTTCCTTTCTCTCTTTTATTCATGGCATATCATTGATGAAACACAAGACAGAATGTTTGGGAAGTGTAGCAACTCTTCCTACAAAATAATTAAAGCACTTTGTTTTGGTAGAGACTTACATAAAGATTGATAACATACTCTAAGGCTTCAAAGAGAGTGAGAAATATGCACTCTAAATTTATTTAACTACTAATAAAGACTTAGTACTTTAAACAAATATATTGTTAGAACTGATTAGGAAGAGATTGTTTTTACTTAGAAAAACATATTGGTAAAATAAAAAACAAGCATTAACTATATCTAAATTCTGCTTCAGCAGAAAACTTAAGTATTTTATTTGCATAGAAGAAACTTTAAAGAACATGCTCTTTTAACTATAAACCTACCTGGAAGGGAACTAAATGCACGGCTTAAGATACAATTCTTCTAACATAATTCATTACTTCAGTACTATAGGTGTATAGTTCATTTCTGAAAAGTCTAATTTCACATTAACTCTGTAATTCTTAAAAATACATGTCTCTTTTTCCCAGAGTACAATGTTTAATAACTGACTGTATTGGTATCTACCATTTAACAACATGGACAAATAGCAGCAGGAAGTCCTCTCCCGTGCTGCTGAAGTGACATATCCTATATAACTCATTTCTAGCATTAACCCTTAAGAACTTACCTGGAATATAATTAGTGCCCCGTGCCACTCAGGACAGTTTAATGGCAACTCCAGACCTAAAAGTATTACCAATTAATTTTTATTTTCGTCATTGTTGATCTTGCAATGAACTAATGAAACCTTTTGAATCTGTGAACAGACAAAGAATCCTACTCACTGCCTTTATTCTTAAAGATATCCTTCTTTAAATAGGTTATCACTAACAAGTCACAGCTGGAGTTACTGCAAGCACTGAGTGAAGACTGTGGGGCTAATAAAAAGAAATGATTCACGCCTCATTTATGTTCACTTATGTTTTACATTAATAGAAACCAATAATAGGAACCAGTTACCATAAAAGTCATGGACCGTAAATAACACAAATGGCAAATAAGTATCATCTAGTACTTTTCACAGCTGGACAGGAGGATTGCTATATTTGAAAGTAGTTAATGGATTTTTATTGGAACTTTACTTTTTAAAGGTGCAGCACCAAGATTTGGAGATCTTTTTGAAGGTCCCAGTAAGCAAATGAGCATAGTATTTACACTTCTTGAAGATATTTTCTTGCTTCTATTTTATAAGTCTGGGTAAAAAAAAATTCATTTAAAAAGAACACAAAAGTCTTCAAAAAACAGAATGAAAAGTGAGAGGATAATCAATATTAGAATAGGTCACTAAAACTAGTCAACAATGTTCTAGTGATACACAATCAAGTTATAAAAAAGTTCAAAATTCATTATTAAAAATTAATCTTCTTTTACAAGATGTTTGCATTAAGTGGATATATGGCAGAAGGAAGAAAGAAAAGTACTATTACCAAATAATACCAAGATGAATATATTTGCTTGTAAAAGTAGGCTTTCAGAATATTGTATTATTTTTTCACTGAAAAATATTGGCTCATATTCCTCCAGGATAAGTGCCAAATAAGATAGCCAAGCAAGGGGTTTTCTCCACCTTTAATTTCTACGACCTAGCTAGAAGTTAGATACATACAAAAGCCCCCAGTCTATAGTTCAAATAAAATTACAACTTCTAATAGAAGAGAGGAAAATGATGTAACTAAGCAAAGGTCCCTCAAAACAAATCTGTGTCATCACTAATGAAAGCAGGGCATATATAATAATACATAATAAATAAAAATAATTCTAAACATTCCCTGAAGATCTTTCCATTCCTCTGAATAATGTATTTGAAGAAATTTACTTAGTAATAAGGACCTCAGGAATGTATCTTAAATTAAGACCTCTAAAAAATCCATGTGTCTATTTCCATTTTACAAGACTAAGACTTTCGGAAACGGTGGCAGAATATTTCTTAGAAATGTTTTCAAATAGACAATTCTTGGAAGAATTTCAGGCATCCTGCTTCAAAAAGATTCCTGTGGGGGTCAAGGTAGGAAAGGAGGGGAAGGAGTCAACCAACAATTTTTACCCTGAAGGAAACTCATACAGCTCTAAGCTCTATGTTTGGAATTTGTACTGAGTAGCATAAATCTTGATACCAACTGATTTGCCAAATAAAGGTTAGCAGAACAGAATTCTTACTATTTTATCATACCATCAGAAAGTCATGATAAAAAGTATGATCTACATGAAATTATGCATTCCTCATTGTCCCCATTCCACAGCAGATAACAGCATGCAAAAAAATCTAAATGGTAATGTGCATTCTGTTACTAATGTCTTTTAATGAATAGATGACTGATTTTTGCATTATCTGTGTTTCTATCAAACTATAATTCTAGTTAACTCAGTAAAAATGATAGATCTAATTCATGTAGAAGCATCACTAAAACGTTTCTTTTAAATATTCTACCTTACACACACACAGAGCTTACCTACTAAACACTAAAAACCCATTTCCCTATGAGAAAACAGGAAAGTTATTTTTTTTTCTTTTAAACATATGTTATTGACATCCTCATATAAAATATACAAACCTATGGGCAATAAAAATTTTAGATACCTGAAATAAAGTAACAAGTGGCTCACAGTGAGTCAGACAGATATTAGAAAAAGAAGCTTGGTGATAAAAAGTGTCACCACAAAGAACTAGGACACAAGTATATCTAGTAATTAAATTTCTTATTGTCACACCAGACAACTTTCAGGAGGATGTGTTCTGATGGGTTTTCATTTCCAGCTGTTTCATCAGCTCAAACCAGTGTCCTTTTCTTAGACATACAACCCTAAATTGTCAAAGTGTTGTGCAGGGATTTAGCCGTGTGACTCCCATTAACATCAATAAGAGTCGGGCAGCTAAATCCACGCGCTGTGCTTTGAAAATTTACCCCACAGTGTACATCCCAGGGTGCTGAAAGGATTAAAGTATTATATAGTAAATTCCCTCTTTGAGGTGCAGAAAATAAACAGAACTCTTCTGGTTTGTTCTAAAAGGCTATCTGTGCATGACTGCTGTGCGTGCATCTGAACATAGAAAGGTCTATAAAATATTCCAAATCCAAGCAGAAGCTTGTAAGATACTTTGTATACAGTAAAGCAGTTTTGAAAGAGCAGCTTAACAATGGAAGAACTGTGACTTCCCTACTTATTTAAAACTCTGATTCCTGTACCATGTCTACAAGGCAAAATCTTTCCTCTTTCCTGAGAGACAATGCAACCAGTCACATCCTGCTCAAGGACTGTCATAGCCCTCTTGGTCCCAGACGGTAAAGCTATAATGTCATGTTCATGTCAGCTCTAAACTCCCTGATCACCCAAACTGCTTGTTGCCTCACACTTTGTCTCAATTCTACTGTGAGTCAATGAGGTCATTCTATGAAGAAGCTTGAGCAGTCATGGTAGGTAAGGAGGGACAAAGGTAGCCCTGAAGTTGATTCTTACTGTTATAAGCAGAGGGCTCACCTCTACTTCTCAGAGGTATTCTCACAGGCCTGCACCTTCTTAGAATCATAGAATCATAAAGGTTGGAAAAGACCTCAAAGATCATTGAGTCCAATCTTTGACCAAACACCTTGTCAAACTAAACCATAGTATTAAGTGCCATGTACACCCATTTCTTGAACATTTCTGGAGATGGTGACTCCACCAGCTCCCTGGTCATCCTGTTCTAATGCCTGACCACCTTTTCAGTGAAAAAAAATTTTCCTTATGTCCAGCCTGAACCTTCCCTGGTACAGTTCGATGTTATGTCCTCTTGTTTTGTGACTGGCTCTCTGGGAAAAGAGACCAACCCTCACTTGGCTTACAGCCTCCTTTCAAAGAGTTGTAGAGAGCATTATTGATTCAGAGGAGCAAAACACCATTAAAGATATATATACATTGCTCATTTCTCAAGTTGTTACATTCCTGAAGATAAGGTAATAGCTTCACTGAAAGTTGCTAAGAAGAACTCATTCAAAAGTATTTTCTTTCTAAGCAAGATACAGATAAGGAAATTTAAATATAGAATGGAGTACAAAAAGGGAAAATGTTAAGTTCTGAAGGTGTTGTATCACTCAAAGTGAAATCAGCATGGAAAGTGTTTGTGTGAGCTAAGTAGAAGATTCAGTAGATTGGGAAAATTGAAAAATTTTTCAGAACAGAGGGAAAGACAGAGTATTTCTATCCCAAAAGTAATTGTATCAGGCACCTACTGGCAAAAGCCACATGTCATCATACTGTCATCAAGTGTGGAACACAAAGGTCTCAAAAGTTTTTCTGCTGTATATATTGGTCATGTTCCCAGCCGCTTTTGATAATAAGGTGGCAAAAGCTGTTTTGCCATCTTGTGAGACATTCACTTTGGTGCATTATCTCAGAGATGTCCATTACTTTACAGAAAAGAAAAAAATCCACCTGCAAGATAAGGTGACACCAACTGAAGTTAAAATCGTGACCATGACAGTTAAGATTGGAAGCTGGGAAACTTGGCTGTGATGGAGCACAACATGTAGAAATCTTTGTAATTAGAGATGACACACACTTAGTGGACACAAGAGAGCAGCAACTGTTCTGAACTGAGAGGGTGGCTCAGTCTTCATATGGAAAACAACTGCAAACTGGGGAAAAAGTTATCACAAGTGCTTAGTTTTTCCTATCACCTTTCATTTCTCTTTTTTGTTTTTTCATTATTTAAGATTGGAAATTAAGAATTCTAGCTCTAATGAATCATAATACTGATAATTATATCAGGTCACACCTTTGAAATATCATAAATTACACTTTTCTTCCCAAAGGACAAAAACAACATATCAAGAATCATATTTGCCTGTTCCTACATAACACCTAGATTTCTTTTTCTTTAAGTCAAATCTGGATCAAAGACTTTATATCTTTAATGCAAGCACTAGGTTTATATTTTTTTAAAAATCACAAAAGGGATTTTCAGACCTAGTGATCCATCTCAAGATATTCTGTGATAATCTATGATAAAAGATGTGAGCAAAAGCTGCCTCAGAGTCACTGGAAAATATTACCTGAGGTTTTTGTCTGTCAGCAGGTAGCAGAGGCAGTGCTGTGACAAAAGCTGGAGGCTTTTTACATGTTGGCCAGTCATAGAGCTCAGCAAAGGGACTCTTCACTTGCTGCTTTCTGTGGGTCAGTGGCTTTGACTTCCGTAGCAGCAGTTCCATTGGATCTGGGGATTTTTTGAATGGTGAATTGTAGATGCCTGGAATCTGAGCAGAAAATGGGATTATCTTTGACTTCAACTCATTAAATTTCTACATACACTAGGAACAAAACCAGACAGTGGCACCTGCTGCACTTTCAAAAGTAAAACAGTCCTTGGTTAGGGAGAAATAGAAGAGAATTTATGGAATACCAAAACCAAATTGTTTTTTTCCCAACAAAATGTCCACAATAAATTCCTGAATAACTATTACAATGTGTTTAGTCTTAATAGCATAAAACATGTGAAAAACAAATATTTTGCACAACTATTTCTAAATTATTACTAAAATAGAAAGGCTCATTCATCACTGAATTTGATTTTTTTTTTTTTTGCATCACTTATTGTATGACTAGTGTTGTATAATATAACAATTGTTAATATAAAACACACATTTCAAATTCTGTTTTAGTAATCTACATCATTAACAATCTGTGAATATCTGGCAAGTCAAAATTATGTGACAGACTGTTTCCAAATCATACCTATATATGTAGGGATTTTATCAGTTGTATATAAACAATTCCCAAATAGACATATGTGAGTTTACTAAATTAATTATGAAGTGTTAAATATGAGAAATCCTTTTCCATATTGCATAAAGCCAGTAAATTTCCTATAAAACACATAACATATGACTCAAATACACATAAAATAATTCAGATACTTAGCTGCTTTAAAGATAATTATATTTTCTACAAAGATATACTAAAACTTTTAAAGGAGACTTGCTCAGTTAAAATATATTGTCTTTTGCTTTTATCATAATTCTAATTACTAATAAACCTTGAATAAAAGTAGTAGGAAAAGAAATTGTTTTCAAGATGTGGGGAAAGTTAAGGAAAAGAGTAAATGTTTAAAATCTTGTATTGCTCCATGAGGACCCATGAGAAAACTGTGTAAGGCATCAGACTTCCCATAAAGTATTAAACTCTTGAGGCTGAGAGGTCAGAAATCTCCCCAGTGAGATCTAATGCATTTTTCATTAACATATACTACTGGGAAATTCCATTTTCTTGCGTCAAAACAATTAAATAAGGCACATATAAAACATAGTGTCTAATAGACAAAAGTATTCAGAGATGCTAGCTTATTCAAAATAATGTTGGGCTACTCAAAATTTTAAAGGGTGCATTCTTCATCTCTAAGTTATATGGGTCTAATGACAATTTATTTTGGTCCTCTGTTATTTGTTCCCCTCTTAGAATAAACCCTACAAGCTATTTCACTAATGGGCAAAATGTACAGTGGGGAAGAGGAGATGAATAGAGGTAAGTGGTAGAAACATATGTATGCCAAACAACCACTGGTTGTTCCTTCAGCTCTTCAGGATGCCAAATTAGAATGGCAGGGATCCATGCTTCAAACAGCAGGCAAGCAGAATCACTGGAGTGAATGTGAAATTTCAGGTCCATCTCTATGATCTGTAAAGTCCAGCTGCAACTTAATCTTTTATTCTACAAGTCTGGCTCTTATGTAAATGTCTCATAAAGTTACAGATTCTCCTCATGCTGTTATTATTTTCATAGTACTTCATCATTGTTATATTGCAATTTTTTTATCAGTCCAGTAGAGTTTCGCCTGTGAACACTTGGTGATCTGCAAGTGCTACATAAAGATAAGTTCCATGTGTTGTCTTGGAATTTATTGCATTCTCCCACAATTATTGATTGCAGTTACACCATATACATTTTGCACAAGTTCTCTCAAATATAAAATGCCACCGTCAACACAAATTCCATACAAATGGAATACATGAGATTCACACAAATTAGATCCCTTTCTGGAGATACACAAACCATCTCTATACCATGGTCATTATATCTCTTCACTCATTAGTCCTACCACAGCCTTTGGATTTGCCTACATTATGACCAATTAATTTTTTGTCTTCACTAACAACTAATGTTGATAACAGTAAATAGAAAAGTAATAGCCTGCAACTACTTTTTTTTACATATTGCACTGAACTGCTCATTATGTTGTTGCTTCATTTTTCCACCCCTTCCTACACCATCCAGCTGTGGAGATTGTGTTCTAGCCATGCCATGAGCATGCAGAAGTTCCCAGCTACAGGGGAGAGATACTGCTCTAATGGTAGGTCTGTGAAATGCATATTTTATAGAAAGTGACAATGACACTGAAAATTTAAGTATTATCCAGAAGAGGAACTTCACCATGCTCATCACTGAGAATCAGGGAGATCTGAAAGAAAACACTAAAGCATAATAACAACTCTCTAAAGGTGGGAGGCATGGATTTGTTGATCAGTAGCAAATCCTGATCAGGCCTGTGTTTTCCCAAAATTTACACCTCTTCTTAAGCCTTTTCTTAAAAAAAAAATTAAAATTTAAAAAATGCTGAAGAGCAATTTGATGAGGCAATATTTTAATTTTTTTAACTGAAAAAAATAAATATTAGATCATTTCAATCTACATAACACAGGTTTGGGGTTTGGGTTCTGTTGATCCAAAGTGTAAAAATACAATATCTGAAATAATTTAAATGTTCTTCCTCTGAAAATTAAATGCAAGGGTAAATTTAAATCTATGTTCTGTCTAGGCACTTCCTTTAGTCACCCTGAGAGACAGTGTGTCTCCTTGAGTAAAATGGCTTTCTGAAGCTACATTTTGCAATCTCTGTTAAAATACTGTGCATATTGTATTTTGTGCTCCTTTGATAAAATGTTTGGCAGTAATAAAAAACTATAGTTCATAAAGGGTTCAAGCAATGTGAAATGCTACAGAATATCTCCAGGAGCACTAATAAAATTGGCTTTTAGCACTTTTAATGAAACTAAAATTAGCCATAATAAATGTGTAAATCCATTGATTGAGTATCTTTGGAATTATTATTGCTGAAAAGGTGTCTTAACAAAGAGTCATCTTTTGTTGCACTTTTTTTGCATACTCTCTAGTTAAATGCACACAGATATTATATCAACTATGAAAACAGATTTGTAATTTAGAGAGGCCAGCTGGATACTTTAGAAGTTTTTGCTTCTTCTACAGATGAAACTCTGTAAGATCTGGGTCAAAATTGATTACAAAGTGCATATTTAAGTAATGACTTTTCAAGCAATCCTTGTTAATTACTTTACATTTTAATTATGTATGTTCAAGTATTCAGCAAGACACATAACAGAGCAATCAACAGAGTTAGTATCTAGACAGACAAAATTAATACTAATTTACTCTAAATTCCCCAAGGTTTGTGGAAAGGTTAGGCCTAGATTTAAAATTGGTAAAGTTTCGTAGGAAAGACAAGGGGATGAGTTTGAGTCTACCTTCTAGTTAGATGAAATTGCTTCCATTCTTTTTTAATAATATCTCTTCAAGTTTTAGTCTTGTTTTTGGAATTTGTTGCACTGTGCAATGTGGTAATGAATACCCTACTCACTCCTTCCTTTGCAGGGAGCTGGCAGAAATCTAAGAATTTAGGGGATCAAAGCCTTTGGTACTTAATATATATGCATGTCTTCTTGAGACAAATACAATGTATTAAAAGCATTACTTCATTTCTTTCCCTACTTTAATAAAATATTCTCTCAACTACAAAACCGTTGTACTTAATACTGCTTTTTCAATGGTAGAAAAGTATGTGTCTTGGAAATTACTCCATACTATGATATCAATATTTTCCCCATATTTAGTCCATAAAAAAATATGTAATGCTCCAAAACATTACCATAGATTACAAAAATGTACCTCTGGTCTGCCAGGAAGATGACACATTTTTCTGTACCCATGATCTTCAACACTAAGAAGGGATTCTGTTAAAGCCAGCTTTCGGGACTTCATTTCCAGGAACAATTTTCCAAAGTGACAAACACTATGGGGAATTCTGTGCTAACTGTTAAAAAACTTACAACTGAGTTATTTGCAATACTGTCATGCTAACTTTCACCTCAATGAGACCAAAGAAATCTCGGGAGGGGACTCTGCTAATAGCTTCCTACTGACCTCCTTACATCAGGCCCTTCTGGTGAACAGTGGCCCAGTGGTGAAGATGGCAAATGAGGTGTGAAAGGAGAGATTTATTTTTTTTTAAGACTATGGTTCTGACTCGTCAGGAAAAAGAAAAAAAAAAAAAAAGAAAAAGAAAGAGTGAGAGAGAGAAATGAGTTGTACAATAGATATATTTTTCCCCTAGAATTCTCTGCCTCAGACCTTCCATCATGGAAACCCAAGCATGACCTGGAATATTAATTGTGTCAGGTCAGGCATACTGGCAAATGTACCATTTGTTACCCAGTCATCCTTAACAATACATTAATATTTTGAATCATTTTGCATTTCTAACACTCTATCATTTTGTTTCCTCCCAATCATTTGCTTATCTTTATAATTAATGGTCAAATATAAAGGAAGAAAAAATCATAAGGAAACAAATATTAATTTAATAAACATTAGCAAGGAAAAGGTTTGGGGATTTTATAATCTGAATTGCTTCCACCACAAATACTGTATTTACTCAGTGCTAAACAATATCCATTTTTGCCTCCCCCAAAGAAGACAAAATTTTTATTTTGTGATAAAAGATATTTTTATCATATAATAAAAGAATTTCATCATTTCAACACAGAGAGAAAGAGTTAATTTTCTTTCTGTCTAAATGAATTAATTAATTATTTACAAGAATAAAAGAAGAAAATTATTAAGGAGTTGCCTTTAAAGCTTCTTCATAGTTTTGAAGAAAGGCAGCAGCAAAAGAAATAGAAAGAAGGAAGAAAGAAGAGAAAAAGGTGCAGGTAGAAAGGGAAAGACAAGGCTATGTTGACTATGCTGGACAGTTCCTCAGAAAAGATAGGTGACCCCAAGCGGTATAATAAATCCTGAACACTTTAGATTCTGCAATATTAATTAATTAATTAATTAATTATTGGTCTTCTTTCCTACTTCTTTCAAAATCTATGTAAAAAAAGACCTTTTAAAGTCCATGTAAAAAACTTCAAACCAAATGTGTTCTAAGATACAGCATAGGTATTGTGCTGCAAATAATAACACA